CATTGCTTAGCCACTGGAGACTTAAAAAGCCAGCAGGTCCTACTCAGGTTGTGGAATTCCACCAGAGCAGCGTAAGAGCCAAAACACGTTTCCCTGTTCAGGCGGCAGATTTGGGGCAGATTCTGTGTACATGGTTTAACCCTGCTCCACTGGAAGGAGTTCCTGGGTTTAAGCTTCCTGAGAGCAGAATGAGATCCAGCGCCTCCTTGTAAACACGGCAGTGACCAAAGTTGAAAGGTGAATAATGATTTTGTTGTTTACGACTCGTCGCATTTCACGAGGAACATTTTATGAAGGAGGAAGACTTTATCAGAGATCTACAGATCTTTTTGCATTGTTTTCTTGAGCTGAGTTTCACAGACATAAATGTCCCTCTGGCACTTGGACAGAAAAGGTGTAAATTACATTTCACACTTCCGCCTATGATTTGGGAACCATGTAACCTGCCTGTACTGTTGGTTAAAGAATGATTAGAAAAGAAGAGATTGGACTGCGAGGTGTTAGTCCAGACTGGCACTGATTGATGATATGGCTTAGAGTAAATTATCTTAGCTCCACACCTTAAATCTTCCATATAAAATATAAATTCCTCACCTCAAAGTATGTTTTTTAAACGTAATTAAAGCTTGTAAAGCATAAATATATCATTGGAATAAAAGTACCAGATATTTTCCAGTAAACAATGCGCAACTCCTCAAAAGTACCAACATGTAAAAATAATTTCTTGGATAATAACCAGTCATCTTCATATAGCCTGCACAAAGGCAGAGAAATTGTCTAGGTACCAGGGACAATGTATTAGCATTTTATACACATAGATTTTTTTTTTTTTAAGAAAGTAATTACTGTCATTTTGGGAAGGATGAGTATTGATGCTTTAAATGCTCTAAGTAGAGATGTGTGAGCAATAGAGAACAGTCTTACAGTGGCACATTGGTTATGTGGATAACCAGAAATTAATACCTTCTACCATTTAATTATTTTGTTCCGGCTTTTCATTTTAGTTCTAGAATTCTACAGAAGCTAATTTACCAGCAAGTTGTGGTGTTTTGGGATTTATTTGGGGTTTTTTTTTGTTATGGTTCCAGATGTTTACTGGAAGGATACACTGCATCGTCCAGTGTCCTCCTCCAGCTGATCATTTCCATATAACCTCTCTGTTTGTCTGGCTGCATAACTGTAAACTAGTGATGCAATGCTACTGCTGCGTTGTAACTCAAAGAATTTTGGGAAAGAAAAAATCAGTAGCAACAACACTGCTTATGCAAACTGAAATAATTCCTGAATACTGCGTGGTGAATTCACTATACAAAGCCATGGCGTACTTCAGAGAAAAGTTAGAATCATAGTTAAGGCCTCTTCTGGCACGAATAGTGACAGCAAACTTCTACTTTTTCTTCTTTTTTTTTTAAATAGATGTTATTTCCTGAAGGAAAGATGGGGGAAAATGTGTCTCTGTGTGTGTGTTGAGGTGGGCATGTTTCTAAATGTGAATAGCACACTGTGAATTACAAAGCTGCAAAGCGTCGAGGAAAATAGAGAATGGTTTGAGTGGGGTTGCCAGGACACAGAAAGTCTAGACTATGAGACTTGGCACTGTATTTTACATATGCATGTCAAGGGTTAGGGCTGGGCCGGCCACTAAACAAATGACAGATGCTCTCTAGAGCACTGCTCTCCCTCCCCAAAGGGGAAGGGAATAAAGCAGAGGCACTTAGGGATTGGAAAAGAAAACAAAACCAGCTGTAATGAAACAATACCAGTACTAATAAGAAAATAATGAAATATATGCAAATATATACAAAACCGATATTGAACCTGCCTCCCCAATCCCCGCTGGTGCTGCAGAGCAGTTGGCACCGAGGAAGCCCCAGGCTCAGCAGCAAAGGGGAACTGGAGACAGGAGCTGAATTTGGGAACTCAGAACCAGTATTAGAGGCAGAAGAATGGACGCAGTGCTCCGCAGACACCGGCCATTGAAGAAGAGGGCTTAATCTTAATGATCCCTCAACTTTACACAGAATATGACGTATATGGGATGGAATACTCTTGTTGGTCACCTGCGCCGTCTATTACCCCCTGGAGGTGCAACATTTTACTTCCTTGTGACCCCCCTTTACTACCCAGCACCCCCAGCGTGGCACACAAGAGCCAGCAGTGGCCTGAGTCACTGTAGGAACAAGTATAAGGAGGAGCCTTTCTGCATCCCCATCCCTGGCAGTAACTGTAAACATAAGGTGTTATCACTGCTGGTAGCAGACAGTGTCTGCAAAAACATGCTGGTAACTTCAGAAAGTGCAGCCTCTTAGAAAGAGACTGAGCTGAAAAGTGAAATCACTGAACAGAATTGGTTCTGTTTAGCTCAAACCAGGACAATATAGGAGTGCAGGAAAAAAAGAAAACTCAGAGAAGGTAAAGAAGGAAAGACATGAGATAGTATTTTTAGAGAAGCAGTGGGGAAATGAACAGTATTTTTTAAAGAAGCAATGGGAGTTGTCAATAAGGCAGAAAAGAGGAGAGAAGATAAGCAGCAGCTAAGTCTGCCAACAGACCAGGATAATTAGGTAACCATGGAAAGAAGAGTTTGGGCATCAAGGAGCCTGTGGTTGTCTTCTGCAATAGAACTTTCAGTGTGTTTGCTTTCAGGTTTTACGTGTGTATATATTTAGGCAGTATCCATAGCTAACTGGCCTGTGGCCCTGTGTGTATGCATGTTTCCTTTCAACATAAAACCCTGTGGTTTGTAGCAGAGTAAAGAGAAAACTCCTAAATCTTTCTTAGTTAAAATTCCTGGTTCATTTTTCGCACCTAGACTTTTTAAAAGTAGAGAAAGTCTACTGTGTAGTGCAGTAGAAAATCTATCTTTCTTGAAAGCCTGTTGGAAAAATCATGCCCATTGGAAATAATGTCTTTTTATCAGTCTTTATATATTTAGCAGGTTTATTTGTTGCTTTGAATTTACCTGTTATCTATGCATTTTAGGTTAGCCATATCCTTGAGCAGACTGCTTTTTTTGGTGACATTAGTGTTTTGGCTGTCTTAGGTCATGCTGTTGAAACAAATATAGTAATAAATTCAAATTTTGGAATTTTTAGCGAGATAACATTACTCTGCACTATCTACAAACCCAAACATCAGAGCATTGAAAGCCTGATAGCGTCCCCTGAATGAAATAGATTTAATCGATTTCTCTTAATCTAGTGCTGGAGGAAAAAGTGCACAAAGTAGTCAAGTATAAATAGCAAAAAGCAGTTTTTAAATTATTTTGGTCATTGAAAGCTGACCTTAGTTGTTATAAAGTAAGTTCTGTAATGTTAGCCATTTGAGGCTGTACTTAAGCACCTAAATATAAATGACCTGTTCTTCAGAGGTGCTCAAAAACAAGGGGTGCAGTAAGAGGATTTGATGAGGGGGGAGGTGTGCTCTGCCCAGCAGGAGAAAGAATTTGCCAGAAGTCATCTGCGTGGTCTGGAGTGAAGCAAGGTGAGCATCAGGACAGAGGGCGGGAGGTGTGGATCTGGCTCAGTGTTGACAGGAAGTTGAAATGTACCTCGGCAGCTTAGAAATTATGTCGTTCTTAGCCTATATTTTTCTGCCTCAGTATACACTAATATTTTCGGGTGTGAATGTTTGAAGCTGAGCAGATGAAGTGTGTGTGTGTGTTGATTCTTAGACCAAATGATTTTTCTGGTCTCCCTGTAATTTGTTTAAAATCAAACTCTGTAGGTGTATATAAACTCATAGGGTTTACATTTGTCTTGTATGTATTTAGGAAATATCTGTATGTTTGAAAATAATACATCCTGAGTAATTATCATCATTCTCTTCTTGGACTTTTCCCATCAGGAGAAGTTACAGTATGAATGACGACTTACAGTGAAGTGACCGAACTGGCTAGCAGGGGATGTTAAAGAACATAGTTTGGGCCGAGGCTGTCGAGGTTACGTTCCAGGCTGAAGGGACATAATAGCTGCGCGAACAAGTGACGTTGCGCTTAAGTCCCTGGCAGGTGCCTGGGATAAGAGCTGTGCTCAGTGGCGGAGGAGGAAGATGCTGAGGGACTGCTAAGGACAGACTCCTCCTTGGGCGGTGCCTTGGTGGTGCTTCCTCTCCTGTTCCTGCAGCTGGGGGGTGGCTGCCCAAGGCTGAGCAGCTCATAGAACCATGCCTGGATGGAAGAGAAGTACTTAGTTGTAGGTTAAAACTTTGTTGACCAGAGCTTCCTTTTTTGATATATGGCCAAGTTAAAAGGCCCCAGGGAAATCTCCCATCTGTAGGGTACCAGCACCTACGCAGTTTGGTGTTGGTGGCAGCAGTGGGGAGGGGGCTTGGCTGTGACCCGGCCGTGTGCTGCAGGCACATGACTGCTGTCAGGCTGGATGGCAGAGGTCACCGGTGGTGAGAGAGAGGGGCTAATTAGTGGTGTGGAGCTAATGTCTTTTTTTCCCTTTCTGGTAAATTCACATTTGTAGTTAATATTTTATTTTTGCAGGAACAGAGGCCAAGAGATTGCTGCTCAGAAAGTAATCTGGGACGATAAAAAGCTATGAACTATGTTACTCCAGTGAAGTGCTTATATTCTGTTTGTCTGTAAAGGCTGGTTGGTTTTTATTGTAGATGGAATAGTTATATCTGTGCTCCTAGCTGGTTCTGACTCTAAGCACATGCATTCCCAGCAGAATGGTGATTATGAAACAAAAGTGATTTGGTTGTACAAGGAGTGATCTGCAGCAACTAGGTCAGGCCGTGGCTTCCACAGACCGTGCTATCATTGGTTGCTGTTAGGGTGGGTTTTTTTGCCGTGAAATAGCAGTGGAAATAGCATGGCAGTCACACGAGTTGAAGCTGAGGTGTTCACGGTAAGCACTGTACTACATGAGCCTCCCTAATGTCTACCCAATTCACTGAAAAGCTTAAATTCCACATTTTGCTCCCACACATCTCTAACTTCTCCTTAAAAAGAAAAAATGTTCTTGTTTTGTTTTGTTTTCTGGTTTTAGTTCCTCCGGGAGTGATACAAAATGGAGCTCGAGTCCTCAGTAGAGGAATATTCCCTGGAGCCAGGCCATTGCCAATCAACCCTATAGGAAGCATGGCTGTTGCAGTACGGTAAGAGTGGTTCCTTGTGGAATCTTTATGAAATAAATCAGCATTTTGCAGAAAATGTAAAAGTATATGTAAGCTCTGATCAACAGATGCTTTGCTGCTTGCTAATACTTCCGAGGTTCTAAATGAAACAAAATTCTGTCACCTAAAGTGGTTGGGTTATCATTCTTTGCGATAGAGTTGTGGCATACTTGTCTGTTGCACACTGGTTTGTGGAAAGCAGTTTTATTTTCACTAGCAAATTGCTGGCAGTTTATGGTGAGAAACTCCTACAGTGACCTGTTTTTCTGAGTGCAAATGCTTTTTCCTACTCCTCCTTGCCTCCCTTCCTAAAGACCTTTTCCTGGATTAAGTACCAGTGAGAAGAATATCAATAATATTAAAGTAAATTCTGACAAATATCTCAGCATGTAGCTGTTGTCTTGTTATTAACTTAGATCTTTGTGAGGCAATTTCTTTCACTACAGTTTCTATTCCAAGGTTATACTGAAACATTCAAGGGTAAAATTTTGTTTGAAGACATTCCACTTTTTCAGAAAGCAGGGCAGTAAGAGACATCTAGTGATGGCAGGAAGAACTGTGGTTTGCTTTACTTAAAGCAATGATGGTTTACTGGTGGAAGAACAGTTTACCTCAGGTGTAGCTCCATTTTCAGTCAGTCACAACAGAGATTAATTTGGTCAGGTGTGCTGCCAGTGCCCCTTCTCTTTCAGAATTCTCAGTATCTGCAAAAGCTCTTGCAGCTCAGGCAGTTGGGTGTTGCAGGTGAAGTTTCATAATTAGCGCTGACCCCACTTTGCTGGGCTGTTGCAGTTACACCTTCCACCCCCTGATCCCAGTAAATGACTGCAAGGCAGTGAAATACAGTATCTTGATAGCAAATTATTCTGTTGTTATTTACTTGGGATTTTTTTTTCCCATTCGCTCTTTATTTTTTTTATCCCTTTTCAGGATCAGTGTCTAGCCCTTTCGGTGCAGTATTTCCATCCAGTAAATGGAAGAGAGAAAACATATGACATTGATATACTCTGATGCTTAAAATGCATAGAGGGGAAGACACTAATTGGAAAAAAAATCCATATATTTTGATGGGCAGCTGTTTGAGCTGCTTTTCACATTTGCTGCGCTGAAGGGACGCCACCCTGAGGGTCATCCTCCAGAAGTCTGCAGAGTTCCTCTCCATCTTGCTTCACCACAGTCTGGCCCTGCTAGCAGGGGAGATCAACCGTGTTCGGTTGCTTTGCCACTGGCTTTGGCTAGGACTTACATTCTGCTCCAGTGGGGATTGCAGAGCTGTGGGACTCCCAGATCATTAATTTTATATCTTTTTTTTTGAGGTATTCAAGCTAAATGGAGGATGTAGTGGTCTGAATATTCTCTCTTGAGTTCATCTACATTTCCTGCTTAGACCTTGTTTCATAATCAGGGTTGACTCAAGGAGGAGATAGAACTGTTTTTCATTCCAGGCTGCCTGAAAACTTTCTTCTATGTAGGCATCCTCAAATTGCTGTACTGTAAGGCTGTATATAGTTAAATTTTATTCATTTTTTCAGGACTACTGTACATGTTTTCTCCCAGCAGGTAGAACAGGATCTTTACCAGGCACCTGCTAATACAGATTTGGGAAATTAGAGATTTTACCCCTCCCTTGCTTATGTTCCTTTTGCTCTGTCTCAGAGAAAAGCATTTATAATTAGTTAATGCAGACATTTCTAATTCTTTTTGTTCTCCAGCCTTAGGCAGTAATAGAAATAGCTTGCTATGAATATATCCCTGGTCTGCATGATGTCTGCTCATATTTAAGGGCTCCTGCAATATCCCTTCTTCTAATTCTTAAAAAGGGGGCAGCAGTGTAAAAAGATGCTTTGGAAACTTTTGGAAAGTTAGGGGACTCTGCAATAAAGCAAGCTCAGCAGCCACTTTTGTCTTATTTCTCTCAGGGATAGCAAGATTCATAATTGCTTTAGGAACGTCAGTCTGGATTCACAGTGCCTCCTAGAACATCCATCTGGTCCTCTCAAAAGTGGATACTTCTGTTTTCACTGTAAAATGACACCCCGTTTCTTGATGCTTGCCCCTCTCCTCAGATACACAGGCCTAAATAGGACCTGTCGTGTCAAGCTTTTGGTGCCTCTCGTGAGAATAATGCCTGCCTATCGTGTGCAGCAAGGGAGTTTAGCACAGCGTCCGTGCGGCCGCCTTCTGTTGCAGGTAAGAGCAGGAGTACTGCTCGCCCGGAGCTGCCATTCCTGCACAGGGGCAGAGGCTCCAGTCAGGCTGGCAGGGCCCTCTTCAGGTGCAGGAAGGTTGACTTTCCCTTCCAGCTTTCACCAGGACAGAGATGTGCTGGGCAACCATGAGAGGTGGTGCAGTCTCCTGTTACAGTAACCTGCAGAAATTATGTGCCTCTGCCTGTATGTCGAGAAGCCAAACAGCTTCTTTCCGAGAAGTTTTTACTCAAATGTGTATTTTCTTTTGAAGAGTTCCTTTGGTGCTCTAAATGAAAGGCCTAAACTCACATAATAAAGGTGGTTTTCATCATTCATACAGGGGAGCTCTAGTATTTTCTTGGTAGTGGATCCTTGCGTAATAAGTTAAACCTCTTGGCTCATTTTTCTTTAGTTACCACATGTAGGGGTTACAGGCTGTTCTGTAGGGTGCTGGTCTTCTGTTGGCACTTCCTTGCTGAGCTGTTTTTTTCATTTCATGTTTATTTCCTCATATCTTAGTCGTTTTGTTGTCTCCCAAACTGCATGCAAATAACATGCCGTATGTTGTCATGTTGTGTAGACTGTCATTAGTGTCAAAACAGAGTAACAAAAAGTTTGGTCTTGGGTTAGCTTTGCAGTTGTGGTTAGGTGGAATGTGTTGACTGATCTGTTATTCAGAAAGGAGGCCAAAACCATAGCATTGGACTAAGATGCCGAAATCTGATTTTTGATATATTGGCTCCTACCAGTTATAAATTTTGCTGTGCCATTCTTCTTCAACGGTGTGACTGAATGTATTAGTGTTATTTTGTTCCTGCACAAGGTATGAATGTGTTGCTGTTTCATGAAATTATGTGTAATTACTTTTATTTTTTATATATAAAGTACAATTGAATTAAGTAGTTTGAATTAAAAAACCCTACTGAAAAGTGTTTAACAAACACAACAAATCCACCACTTTCCATGAATAAAGAATAGCAGTTGAAGAGAGCATCATTATGTTGTAGTGCATTTGGCTTAAATTGCACAAATAGGCCTTTCGTTCCAAACTAATTTACAAATGGAAAAGGCATCCCACACTATTTTTACTTTGAAAATCATCCTCTGGTGTTAAATCTCCACAGCAGAGCATAATTGGATATGTTTTGACAGTAGCTTTTTATTTGCTTTATTCACACCACTTTTAGCTTGTTTACCATCCATATTTTCCATGTTGTGGCTGACAAGTCTAAGACCCACCCGAAAACAGCAGGGGAAAATAGCGCTTCAAAGCTGCACAGCGTGTAGCATGTCTCTAACATGAGATCCATCATACATATTTTTGGCAGACCATATCTCCATACAGTTCCCTCAGAGAATCTAAAAGCAAATGCAGTGATAGTCTGAATACATAAAGAAAATACTGACTTACAAAGGCATTAAGCGAAAGCAAGGAAAGCTAGTAGTGCCTTACATGCCGCAAGGAGTTGGTTGTGCTTTGAAGGTGAACTTTTGCTCTTACTTTGTACATCCATTGGAAAATACCTTTTGCATCTTTACTTAAGAGGACTTCTGGAAGTGTTCATGGCCAGGCTGGATGGGGCTTTGACCAACCTGGTCTGGTGGGAGATGCCTCTGCCCATGGCATGGGGTTGGAACTAGATGATCTTTAAGGTCCTTTCCAACCCAAACCATTCTATGATTCCATGTCCACTTTAGTTGACACAGTGTCTATCAGTGTGTCTGCCAATGTACATTTGGGCAAGGTGCAGGACGCTCTGTCATATACCACCTTCCACCTGAGTAGCTTTTATGTATTAAGCCTTTTTTTTCTTTTCCTCTACTCCAAGCATTCCCTGCTACAGAGGTCACTGAACAGTGTTCAGATGGGCTCCCAGGGAACCCAGGGTTTATGGAGCTCTAGTCTTCAGTACATTTTGTACTGTGTAAGTCACGTGTCCCCATTTTTTAGGCCAGATTAAGGTGCTGTTAGTCCTAGTCAGCAGGGTTTAATGGCCTATTCAGTGGTCTGACCTGATGGGAAGGCCAAATGAAAAGCCCATCCCATAACACAAGCCAGCAGATGTGCATGAGGTAAAAAAGAGGGAAGGAGAGTTTGCAGCCACCTCGGTGGGACGCCTTAAGGAGAAGGTAAAACCTTTAGGATTTGGGAAGAGCTAAGCAGAGACAGTCTGTGTAAAGACGCTGCATTTGCTGTTGTCTTTGTCAGTGCATCAGAAATGTCAAGATGAAGGACAGCATAGACTTCATTGCTTAACTGCAGTTCTTCAGCTCCTGTTTCCCCAGAATGAATCCAAGCTATTGTTTCAGACCAGTTGAATACTTAAGCAAAACTTCTCTATATGCCACTTAGGCCTAGGTAATAGGTTAAATTACTTCTGGTAATGTTTGTTAGAATACATCATTTTTTCTAAATTATTGCAGTTAAATATAAAAGTTAATGGGGGAATTACGGGGTTTTTTTTCCTTTTTTTTTCAATTCTCTTTTCTCACTAAACATTTGCAGCTTCTCAAGAAATTGCACAATCATCTGTATATTGCAAACACGAGCTTCCCAGGGAATTTCCCTAAGTAAAAGAATTTTCCATTCACGTTTCCAAGACAAAATGTTCCTCTTCCTGGGGAAAGCAAGTGCATCCGCACTTGCAGAGCTCTACTGATCTTCCTTTATTTTGAAAAAAAACACAGCACAACAAAACCAAAAAACAACAAAACACTCCAAAATGCAACACTAACAAACCTTACCTTCTTCATCATAAGTAGATTTTAAAATATCTGTTCTGCTATTAATGCTACAGTTCCTTGGGCAGCTCCTGATCATTGCAGTGCGACAAGAATTACTTTTGTGTCTAACTTTATTCAAAGGTGGAAGATTATTACGTATTATTATTTTCACTTTAAATTTATAGGGCAATTACTAGATTATTCATCAGGCCTAGCTTTCATTATGGTGACTTTATTTCTCATGCTGGCTTTAGTTTTGCTTGTTTTTTCCTCCCTGGAAGCAGCTATTCAAGCAGTGATTAAATAAACCAAACATAAGTAACACGTGCAGCATAGATGCCAAACCATAAGTAAAATTATATTTTTGTATTATCTGTGAATAATTATTTTTGCTGAGGTAAAGGAAGTAACTGGTAGGTCATTGCGTTCCCCTTCCCACTTGTAAACAGCAGGATGAGTTATTGTTGGGAGCTGAATCCTTTAGTAACTAAACAACAAAAATAATGGCTGGCTTGATTATACTTTTTTGCCGAAAGCAGAGGGCTGCATTTGCCTTAACTTCAGATCTGCTGTCAGTACTGACAAAGTGCTCTTTCTGCTGCCAGATCCTGACTCATATTTACTGTGGCCCTCTGCATACAATTATGCTGTGAAGTGCCTTTGTAAGAGCTTCTATCAGTGGTGTGACTGACTTGTTGTTGTTGACTTTTAGCTCAATAATACCTCATAGAATCTCATCATACAGAAAGTGAGCGCCACTTAATTCTCATATGCTTGTTCATCCTCCTGTCTGCTGGCAGGGAGTGGTTTGAAGGAACACTTCAACTACCTAAAAGCAGCTAAAAGTTCTCACTGTCCTGAATTTCCCTTTGAAATCGCATTACCTGTACAGTAAAAAAGAGTGTTACTTTTTTTAGCAGTTCTGGAACCTGTCAAAATCCACAAACTCAACTTACCTGTACTGCTTTCTTCATACCTTTTAACTGGGTGTTTCCAATTATATACCAAAACCGTCACCCGTGAGTATACGGGATCTATCATCCTGAAGGATCAGAGATAGATAAGGTGATAGTTACACTCCACGTAGGTTTGCTTTCTTTATCAAAGGAATATACCTGCCTCTGGTGTGGAATAGAGTAAGTATTTTTCAACAACCTTTTTTTGCCGTTTTGCAAACAGAATTTGATTACCTATCTTTTTTTTAAAGCTAGTAGAGAAATTTTAGGAAGTTATCTCTGCCCTTGGTAGCATGACTGGGACTTTTATATTATCCTGAGGAAGATCCCTTCGAACGGCAGAGGCACCAACACTGTGCAAAGGACATTATTTCCTTGCTGACTTGATATCTAGGTGCTGTGAGTCCAGTCTGGCTCCTGATGACATGAACAGCAGAACTCTTCTCCGTTAACAACGGGAATGGAGTTGGGCTTTCAGAAGTCTCAGCTTAGCCCTGCAGTGCTTGAGGGTTGTGTTATTATGCTACAGCCAAACTGTAATATTTTAAGAAAAATCTGTACATGGTACTTGTATCTGTATAACTGTGGTTAAGATCCCTCAGTCCGTGTCAGGAGGATAAGAAGCTCTAGAGAGTGTCCCATGGACTTTACTGTAAGGGCAAGCCACTGCTTTAAAGCATGTGAAAATACATCAGTTTCTGGAAATGTTGAAATAAAGTTCTAAACAAAAACTGAGGGGGGAAAAAGTTATTACTTGAAATAGATTTCCACTCACTGTTACAGTAAGCACAGAGTTCTTAAATAACATTTCTTCTCCTCTGTAATTTAAAAATAATCCATACATCAGAGCAAGCACTTGTTTTAAAAATACATTATTGTTTCATTAACAACATGAGAGGTACTGCCAGAACTGTAAGCAAAATTAGATTCAGCTGGCCAAAATCTGCCCCCTGAAACCCAGGGGAGTTCTGTCCTCCTCAATTGAACTGAGTAGATCACAGATTCATTTCTTTGCAAATATATGTCTGTGTAAGAGCAATATAAAGCTTCAGAATGTCTGAGAAGCATGTGCGGAATACAAATGGTTTAGATATTAGTTTATTCAACTCTCATTAGTCTACTAATGTCAATTCTTCATATCTTACATTTGAGCTATTGTGTATCAAGATACAAATCAGATTAATTTATTTTCAGGGTAAAACTTCTGATCTTGTGAATATCCTAAAACACACTGTGTGTATAACTCATTTTCATTTCTGTGGATATCGTTTGGTAATTCTCTTCTTGACCTGCTTTCTCTTCCTTTTTTATTTCCCAAGCAGAACTGGTTGGAAATCTTTAAAAATGTAAGTGAAAACTAAAGATTTTTCTTAGATGCAAATACTCTTCATTTCCTGACCAGTTCCATCATAGATGCCTTTCTTTTGAAGTGTATTGGTATTTCCTTTCCTCCCTTTTTTTTTTTTAAGTGATTTCCTTTTTGCACCTTTCTGTGGACTTCGGGGTTTTGTTGTCATCATCCTTATTTGCAGTCACTCCCTGTGGGATGCCCACCCCATAGCAGTATACCTTCTCCCAGGACATTGCTTCTGTCTTCCCCCTGCCTTTCATTCTAGTTTTATGCTTTCTTGAAAGGATTGGGATCTGGAGTAAGTCCCATGGGCAGAGCTCTTGAATCCAAATTATAGCCCCTTTATGTAAAAGCAAACACTAGAGACTCAAGAGTGGGGCAAATCAGGGATGACTTTTTGGCACATGATTGCTCTGCTCCATGGAACTGTAGTTTTCCATTTACAAATAGTCTCTCAGTACAAACTAACAAATAATAGATCTAATGACAGGATAATGGCCATCTTGATTTGAATCCCATTTGTTAGAAGCCTTGCTCACTAATAACCTAGTCAGTAGGAATCCCATTTGAGTTCCCACCTATTCTGTCCTGTATTGGTTTCCCTGGAGCAAGAATTTATTGCTGTTTTTTAATGGAAAAATAGAAGCATGTGATCTTTATTGAGCCACATTGCTCCAACTATTAGCTGCCTAGTAAAATCAAGTAACTTTAATTTTATGCTAATTTATGGTAATTTTTGACATCTTTAAATGTAAATTTACCCTAAAAATGAAGAATCTGTCACTTAAAATGCATCACATGCTTCCTTGTAATGACTGATCTTAAGGAGTTGGTTATAAATTCACCTTACAACTAGTTTAGTATGGATGATTTCTTCTTTTAAGCATTTGGCATCCTCTAATGACAACCCCTGCAGTGGCAAACCATCACAGAGTAAATGCAGCTGGCTTGCTGCACAATCATGAATGACATTGCATTTAGTTATTAATAATTGAAGAAGCTTTGTGTATTCCTTCTGGATTCTGTATATAATTTATGGATCATAACGCTACTCAAAAATCTAGGGGAAAATAATTTTGTTGAGCAGAAGAGGTTGGCAAGAGGCTTTCTTTGCTAATAACTGGGCCTTCTATCATGCATGTTTCTTTGAAAATACTGTAAATAAGAATATTTTGAATGACTGGTTAATTTGCCACCTTCTAGCATTGTCCTGTCACTGATTCACAAAAGCCTGTTTCTTATTTCTGCAGGCTTTATAGACAATACCATTTAGATGAATAGGAACTGGAATTGTATTTTCCACCTTTCAGCTTTACCTTTCAGAGGCAGATAATACACTGCTGTTTTTTCTATAAAGAAACCAGAGATCCATTTCCGGAAACCTAAAGCACTTTCCCATTTTTTAAGTAGAAGAGCAGTAAAAACTCTGGACTTGCCACTGTGCCATTCCTCTTGAGAAATACCTACGTTCAGTGTGTGTGTTTAGGAAAAGCCATGAGTGTGCAAAGGCACTGATAGCATGAAGATGGCAAGAGTAGGTTTTAAAGCAGTTTATCATGTGACAGTTTAAACAGTCTTGCTTGGTTGGGGTTTTTTGAGCTGATAGAGTGTTCAAGGCTGGTAAGTTGGTGGATGGCAATGATGATGCCTTTACTCAGTGATGAGCATCCTCCTCTCCTTATTTTTCTGCCAGAATTAAACACTGCACAAGGTCAGTCCTTTCTATAACAGGCTTGAAAGCATTGTATTCTGTATTGTAGAGTCAGTGGCAATGCTCTAATAGTTTTAGTTTCCAGTGCAGAAAGGAACACTGTTTGTTTTAAAAAATACATTGTGCTGCAGTAGTTCCCACAGCACTAAGTGCCATAAAACCAAACGGGAAAATGACAACTTCTAGAGAGAAACCAGATTTATTATTAATTTATTTTAATTTATTATTAATTATATATTTAAGATTATTCATAAACTGATGAAAATCAGAAATGTGACTGGACCTGGGTTTTACACTTAGTTGCTCCTTTTGTTGGAAAGAGTCCTAATCGGAAGCGGTGCTACTTCCGGGTGAACTATCTCCTACCCTTGGAACGCTAGAGCTGGGAAAGAGGCTCTGAGAGGAGGCAGAGGAGTAATCCAGAAAGCCAGTGTCTTTATCCCTTGTTTTTGGTAGTATCATTTTATATGGAAAAGGGGAGAGGATATTTGTGCAACCCATCAAAGTTCATTTAACATCCAGTAGATAAAATAATGGGTGTTTTTACTTTATCAGTTTTTTGGAAGTACCAGCTATTAGTTGAAGTGTAAATCGGGACTGTTCGGCTATCATTTATTGGCAACTGTCCCCTGCTTGCTCCTGCCTCTTGTGCTGTTACTTGTCTTTTGGCTTGTTTTATGTATGGAGTCCAATCCACAAGTGATGTGATCCAGGCTTTGAAACCAGCTTGCATGGGCCGTGCTTTGATAGCCATAATTGTAGATTATCTGTCAGCTGGCTTTATCATCCTTTGCACTGAAGTGGGATCTGGCTCCTAAGACTGCCTCGATTTGTTGTTACAGGAACGGAATAACAAACTGCCGGATGCGGACAGAAAGTGAACAGTCCTGTGGCTCTCCAGTGGTTAGCGGTGACCCAAAGGAGGATCACAACTACAGCAGTGCCAAATCTTCCAACCACAGGAGCACATCACCTGCTAGTGACTCCGTTTCCTCCTCCTCTGCTGACGACCAGTATGAATTTGCGACAAAAGGTAGCCAAGACAGCAGTGAAGGAAGTGAAGTTAGCTTCCAGAGCCACGAGAGCCATAGTGAAACAGAAGAGGAGGACAAAAAGCAAAATCGGAAGGAGACCAAGGATTCTTTAGCTGACAGTGGGTATGCATCCCAGCACAAGAAAAGGCAACATTTAATGAAGGCGAAAAAAGTACCGAGTGACACACTGCCTCTTAAAAAGAGACGTACGGAAAAGCCCCCTGAGAGTGACGATGAGGAGATGAAAGAAGCAGCAGGATCGCTCCTGCATTTAGCAGGAATCCGATCCTGTTTGAACAACATCACCAATCGGACGGCAAAGGGGCAGAAAGAGCAAAAGGAAACCACAAAAAATTAGAACAAATCAATGATTTGTTTGAACTTACAAAGTTTTGTTTCAGCACGTCAGGTGAATTCTAATGATTTGTGGCAATATCAGCAATTTTTTCCTTTTTTTTTCTTTCTATTTGATTTTGTTTTGTTTCTTTCTTTTTCTTTTTCTTTTCTTTTTTTTTTGGACCCTTAAGATTTTTTATTTTTAAAGGAGATTGAAGCCATAGAACTCATACTGACACTCAGCTAATTTACGAAAGCTTTTCATTACCTGAAGACAAAAAATTAACAAACAAAAAGCCAAAATCGCCATTGCTTTCTCCGGCTTGTCAAAAATGCATGGTTGAATACGCAGTGACATCAGAGTTAATGTGATGGGAGTAAAATTGGGCACTTGGAAATCCCTCTCCTGCTAGAAGAGCTGTGCATAATTTGGTAATCATTCAGGCCTGGCCCTTAAGAATTTTTTTTAATGGCCTTACAATTGGGTTAGAAGCGAATGTGAATAAAGAGATTTGAGGGAAAGAGGAGGCCCGTACTTCTCGACACCAAACCAAGAACCATCTAGTGGCATTTGGATACGTTGTGCCATAGAAGTCTTTGGACGGCCACTGGTGGCAACTGCGCAAACCCTAATTAATGCACTTCTGGTGCCTCACGTACTATCTGTGGCTCATAATGTGAAGACTGATAACTTTAAGTTTGGGGAAGTTTGAACTATGTATGCAATGGGTTTCAGTGAAATAACAAGAAGAAATGGGGGGGGGGTCACCGTTAGTAGCATCGTTAATCATTGACTTCTGTCTTCTATATTAAATTAAACGAATGTTCAAAAAGCCATAAGCCCGAAGATTGGCACTGCGTGCAAAAAAATAATAGTGATAGGGAAAAACAAGCTATGTCTTCTAAACTGCCTGAGTGAAAAGCAATCAAGTCTAAGAAATTACAGTAAATACTAAGGAAGGAAATACTTCAGAATCTTTTTCTGTGGATCAAATCCTTGATCTTACTGGGAAAACAAAGCTACAAAACCTGCCACTAGTAGTATTCTGTATTTAAAAATAAGAGGAAAGCATAATGGTGAACAGTAAAATTCAGAACTTCAACAAAAGAGCTCCTACGCTGCCCTCAGAAATGAGTGTGCAGTTACCGTCAGTCAGGATTCATCTGCACAAAAATGACAACAGATTTCCAGATTCAACCAGCGTAGCCAGCAGAAGAAATTTGATCCACATTGCATGGATTCCTTTTGGGAGGGGGGGAGTACAAAAAAGCAAACAATTTTTTTTATTCAAAGATGACAAAGTTCTTGTAAGGTAAATAATGTATTTAGCATGAAGCATGAATTATTTTCATATAAATATAGAAAATAGAGAAAAAGGCTATGCCTCTAATTTTTAAGCCCTTAGGCTTTGAGTTTGGTTTTTTGGGTTTTATTTTTTTTTGTTTGTTTTGTTTTCATTTTGGTTCTTTTTTTTTGTTGTTGGGGTTTTTTTGAAGCAGGTGTTTAAGGTTTAACCTTCTTCAGGGACAAACACTGACTGTTGGGGAACTTACTCTGCAATATTAAAAAATAAAATCTTCATGCTCTGGTAGGGCTTGGATGGTTGAATTATACTGCCTTGTCTGCACATTCAGCCCCCCTCTCCCTACTTCTGTTTGAAAAAAAAGAAAAAAAAAAGAAAAAAAACTAAAAGTGTGTCCTTTCTTCGTCTGTACATGTGTAACATGACGCAATAATCTGAGGGCAAATTTAGTAGTGAGTGTGTATGACAGAATCAAGAGAATAATGGGAGGTTAATTGAGGAAGACTCTTTGATTTGATTCAGGAATAAGTAGGCAAGAAAATAGGTTTGCTAATTTGCCATGAGAAAATGAAGTTAGTAAAGAGTCTTATTGAGGTGTCCAGAGAAAAAACAGTGTTAGAGAGAGCGTGATTCAGGTACAGTGCTACTCTCCTGGTAATGATGACTGTAAGATTGGAGATCTCTACAGCAGAGGGAAGCTGTGAAATAAATAAGACAGTCTCTCTCACTTGGATTCATGAGCTTGGCATGAAAAATTCTACACTTAGAATATCCTAGAGGCAAGAAGAAAATCCCAAGAATCAGCCACTTAACAGAATGAAATGGTCTGTTTCTTAAAAAGAACGTAGGTTTATATTTATCCCTCACAACTGTTTCAGGCAGCAGTTTCACCAAGACGGATCTAATTTATGAAGAGTGAGTTTGACTTGCCGCTCAGTGGAATGAACTGAAAATTGCATTTGGAGATGCTGGTGGTGTGCGTTCAGTTAGGAAGCGGAAGGGCTGCAGGTGGGGGGCCTGCTCTGGAGCTTCTTGTGCTCCCCAAGTGTTTTGTCATATAAAGAACAGGGCGGCACCAGGGGCAGCACCGCGGAACGGTGCCTCTCCTCCCCTCTCACCCAGTGTGTCTGGGGATCCAGGAGCTGCCAGAGCCCAGCACAGCTGCCAGCTATGCAGATAAGGGAGGAGGGAGCCAAGGACGGTGCAAGGAACAGCTCTTCACTCCCCTTGGTGTGCTGGGGCAGGGTTGATTCCCACCTTAAGTCAGGAGTATGTGGACACTCACTTTTGTTGGCCAACCTGCAGCCCTTAGGATAAAGCTGGGGAAAACAGGCAGGGCCGGTCCCTTGGCCAGGTAGCACAGAGATGAATGAGCCATAACTTTTCCTTCGTGTGGTTGGACTGGGATGATCAACTTCTTCCCAGATCCGTGCTCCCTACAGGCAGAGTCTGCAGGCAGTGAACTGCACAAGCCCTGCACAAGAAAATTGGGTCCTTCATCTTTTTACAGACTTGGGGAAGAGTCATTTGAAATATGAAATAACCTAAGTATCTGTTTTGCCACCACCTTTGCTCATCAATGCGTAGTTGTACCAGCTTGAGAGGGGTTTAATATTTATCAAAAAGCAGCGCTGAAAAGTCAAATTGAGTGGCAGAAAATAGACTCAAACCGTGGCTCAGCCAGCTCTGTCCTCCAGAGAAAGCGACGTGGTTGTGTGCCAGCAGCCAGATTCTGTCCACAGTCATGACACTAATGCCAGAACAACTTCACTGATCGCGGTGCGTCAGTGCGCATGAGAGCAGTATCTGCTGAACAACAAGTACCATTCATTAATGTGGACTCTTGGTGGCTAAATATATAATTACCACTAGTATTACTCACCTTAGGAAACGGTCATTTTGCATAAATATCTAATTAGGCAGGTTATCTTTATATATATACACACACATATATATATATAATCTATTTAAGACTTCAACAACTCCTTTATATACTTGCTGGTAAACCTAAAATGTGGCAAGCATCTATTTTCATGTAAAATTTGTCTGATCTGCTAAGGAGGTGTATTACACAGTAGGAGTTTACAGAGTTATGTTCAGGAACCAGCAGTTTGGCTGAGGGCTAATGCCATCAACAGATTATTTCTGGAGTTTAGAAACAACTTATGCTCCCTGACCCTTACTCTGACTATTGATGACAAGTACATAATTTGGATATGTATGAAATATTTAAGTCACTTCTTGAAACATTTTTGTGCCGGGCTGACAATGGCAGCTTTGTCAGAACTGGTGGTACTCCATCAGAGTAGTAAGACTTGAGACTAATTTGTTTTCCAAAAAAAATACAATGTCAGCTTTTCAATCCAGTTGTCTCTACTTTGACTGAATCATGCCAAAACGGAGTGGTAATTGCACTGTATTATGAACTCTCTCACTTGCCAGACATGAGGTGGTTTGGTTTTGCTTGTTTGCTTTCCTTACTAAGCCATTTTGGGGTGAGAAGTTGACGAATCTCTAACTTTCCATTTTCCTCACCCTATCAGTATTGCCAAATTAGCGTTTCTCCAGGACAGGTGAGGGCTGGGGGAATCCCAGTGGGTCAGCAAGCATCCCGTGGCGCGTTTCACACGGGCGTGTAAGGTTGCTGGACTTCACGGCAAGTTCCTTTGGAATATGCCTTTTGCAGCAAGAAGCTCTTGCAGGGCAGGGCTCATGCCACAAGCAGATTTCACCGGCATCTGCAGGACGTGCAATCTGCTGCTCCTGCTTGCGTTCTGCAGGCAACTGGGTGTCCTGGCTGCATTTTGATGCATTTTAAAATGCATCATTTGAATGCCTGCATTTAAAAATTGAAGCACAGGCCTGGAACAGCTTTAATGTATCACCCCACAGCTGTTTCTGAAAGCAGTCTGATTCCCATCTTCTGGCAAAGCCAGCAGTAGTCCTGCTGCGATCACAGGGGCTTAGAGCTGAAAAGCCTGAGGTGGGAGCAAGGAGGGGTGCCAGGCTGGACTGGAGAACAGTGTTCTCCTTTCTCTGACAGTTCAACTGAGGTCCATGTCCTGGCTCCTTTCTTAGCTTAAGAGAGAAGGGAATCCCAGAGGAGGTGCGTTGGCTCCCAGTGTTCACCTGAATTGCTGTCTGCCTCTGAAAAAGATACAGAGAAACTCGGGGGGCTGCATTCTTCACTGGAGTGAGGTAGAGTTACACTGACATACTTAAGCAGAGAATGAAATCCTAACTTGTACACCAAATGGCACCGGGAATGAAATGACCAAAATAACACTTTGTCCCGGTTTCTCGGTAGGCGTGATTGATTTTCACTGAGATTTTTGGCTCCCAAATCATCTAAAGGTGTAGAAGGGCACAATCTGAGGTTTTCCAGACCCTGAGGTGTCTGACCGCCATTGCAGCCAGTGGAGCTATAAACACTCAAGTGCTCCTGGAAATCTTTACCATTTTGCTCTTATTACCATTTTTCCTTGAATCTGGCCCAAGGCATATTTGAAAGCATTACTCTCCCATGCTCCAGCATCAGAATAAAACTATCGAGATAACGTATTTCCAGTTTCAGCTGCAAAGCAATTTACTTTACTTCACTTCACGGAGAATGCAAACCCAGCTCCTTCAGGTATGTCACTACTGCCTGAGTAGCTCGTTGGCGTATTTTAGGAGAAATGTTTTGAAACGTTTTCTTGACTTTGCCACCAAAAGAGCA